TTTTACGGGCCACTCCTCGTCTCACTTCGATCCATTTCCCTGTCGTTTTGTTCTCGTTAAATGGAGAAGGAACGAGGTATTGTGGCGAATTATTTGTGGCTTCCTTTGCGACCGAGTGGCTATTTACATCACCTTTGACGACAGGTGTGCACTGGGGCACTTGCGGTGAAATGGATTTCGGAGTGGGAGATACTTTTCCCGCCTTTAACCTTTCTGTGCAATACGAAAAACAGTTAGGGCAGACCCACTTCATAAGTTGGTTATCCTTATATAATTGTATCAGTTTCTTTGTCAGTTCCTTGACCACTACTGTAAATACAATAATGTATCCTCTAATCCGATCCCAGATACCGTAAAAATATACTAACGGCGTCTTCGTGAGCCCACCATATTTATTTATTTATTACTACACCAATCTTTACAGATACGGCGCTAAAAATAACCATGGGTGAACGAAAAACTATAGATGCAAAAACGGGGAGAATAAAACAGTCAACTTCGAGGAGTAACAATATATTTTTTTTGTTCACTGCACGCCATTTTGAGTTTTTTTCGTTTTTATTTATTGTTGGGATTGTAGACAAGAGGTGATGCATTCGTGTCACTGACTTCGGTTCGATGACATATCCCGCAGTGTCTCCAGCCAAAGACGATCTGAATCTTTGGGGCCTCAACCGGGGAGCCGAGAAACCCCAACGGAAGCCAGACCCGAGCACAAACTCTTCAACCCTCTGAGCCACGTCATAGCCTACCCACCTCGTTGTTTCTTCCAGCCTGGACCGATGTCTGTGAGTAGTGCACGGTGTGGCAGACGGTGCTCAGGCATTCGTAGGACGTGTCCTAGACACCTAAGACGATGCTGTGAAATTATTTTGCCCAAAGGAAGACTATCTGGTCGGTCGTCTGACTTCGTTATTCACGCGATGATCCCACCATACACGGGCGATGTTGCGCAGACAACGGTTGTCGAAGACTGATAGCAGTTGGACGTGATCTGCTCGGAGAAGCCGGGTCTCGCAACCATAGAGCAACACGGTGCGTACCGCTGCCCAATACACACGTCCTTTTAATGAAAGGGATATATCGCGCCGGCGCCAGAGATGCTGCAGATTAGCAAACGCTAATCTAGCTTTGATCACGCGTTGAGAGATCTTCTCGCCCACAACTCCGACAGCAGTTATGCAACTCCCAAGGTAAACAAAACTTTCGACTACTTCCAGAGTGTCATTATCCAGTGAAGGTGCAGGAATGGGTTCCTGCCAATCTTGCAACAACACTGCACTTGGAAGGTGCAAATGATATCACATAGCGGGTAACCTCAATTGACAAACGGTTCAACGACTCTTTAATCGTTGGTGCGTTGTCACCCAGTAAGTCAATATCATCGGCGTACTTTAAGTCTACGACTTTGTCCCCAGGAAGAAGCTCGACACCACCAGCCCACCAGAGACACCACAATTAAACATTTCAACGCAATAGTTGGTTTTAAAAGAATTTTCGCCCACATCGGAATTCAAAAGAACTCACTTAGTGATCTCCTGTCCCCTCGTGCTGGTCCGAACGTGCCTGGTTGAACCAGGCGCTTTTCTCTATTGAATACAGAAGTTGTTCCTTAAGCTTACGGTCAATTTATTTTATTTTTCAGTCTCTTATTTTTTATTTGCATTTGAGTTGCGACCGTACCAAACAAATCACGGTGCAATGGTCTTCGTAAAAAGAAGAAAGGTCCATGATTTGCTCGAGGGCGCTATAATGATGTACAAGGATGTACAGGCCAAAGCAGGTGAGCTTTTTAGGGAATTCGCAACCGAAGCTTTCGGCTAGCCCAAGCCCAAAACACAAGGTAACAGGGCGGTATCTGAAAACCGTAATCGATTGGATGCGGTGTGCAGTTCATTGGATCATATACCCATTGGACGGAGTCAAACGTTCAAGGTGTCTAATTTAGTTTAGTTCAGTTTGTACAGTTTCCATTTTTATTAACAACCAATAACCATGAAATTTTAGGCGCCTGTTTTGGTTTTTGTCTTTTGTTCATCTGAACAAAAAAGCAAAATGAAGATTGGAATGTTGAGAGCAAATTCAAGGGGAAGATAAAGGATTCATTCAGACTACGGTTGCAGGAATATTGGGTAGATGCACGAGCACCAATATTTGCGACACGAAGCCATACCACTCAGTGTTTCTAACATCCGGTTACCATGATCTCGGGGTCCTCATTCAGAGAGCCTAACAGGACCTATGTGACCCAGAATCCTGGACAGGGTTTTAATACCCTCTTTTCAGGTCTTAGTTTGACCGCCCTTGAACTTTTTCCACCTGCTACCTGCTTCGGCAAACATCGTTTGTAGTGGAAACCTATCTGGTGACATGCGCAGCACAAGTCCAAACCAGCGTAATCTCCAGAGCTCCAGTGGACGACCGCGACTTCTTAAAACTCTGCGCTTGACCTCAGCACTGCTCTCCCAGTTGTCCTACTAGATTCATGCAGTGCTGCGTAGACAGAGGTGTTCAAACACAGACAGTATATTTTTATCCTGTTTTCTTACTGGCCAATTTTCTGCGTCGTACAGCAGAACTGGTCAAACTACCGCAGCATACACTGGACCTAATACTACTCAATACCCAATGGAGCCGGAGAACATCACTCCGAGCAGGAAGATTTGGGTGTGTGATTCGTAAGCCTCTTCTTGGTTGATTTGGAATCAGGGTTTTTAACCAACTCTCCTAGGTGAACTACCAGTGGTTCATCAACCCGGTTCTGCTTGTTCTCAAGCCGGTGTTTTATATATATTATAGTCCAGGATTTTGGTTTCTCGTTCTCTCACTTTGGTAGGAAAACAGCTCCGCCACGAGAAGGCAGTGAGAAGGGCTTCCTCAGCAGAAGCTATTAGAGACGTTTGGTAGTATTGGAGGGGTGATCAGTCGCAACCCTAGACACTCAACCCGACCAATTACCTTTGAGTTTGATGGTGTACATTTGATAAGCTTGAGGAACTAGTCAATCCGAACATACATAAGTAAATCCTGCAAGACCATAGGCAGATTGGGTCGGACAATGCAATCTTATTAGGATATGTACATTTGCCTGTATTTTCCACGCAACTTTAAAGACCCCAAGGTCTCCTTAACGGAATTGTGTCAAGGGTAAGGACAAGAACACGGTGTGTACTGCGGGGGTCCTAGGAAAGACAGAACAGCTGCATGATACTTTTTGTTAACACTTACACATGAAATTTCACATTATTCAAGATACTTATGATAGGCCGACCAAATGGTAGATATGGATATTATGTTAGACTGCAGTAATGTACCAAACCAAACACCATCTTACTTGCTTTACAATTTGCAGTGCTTCGCGTTCTGCCTCTTTGCGTATTTTCATCTCCTCTCGACGTTCCATGGTTTCCTGCAGTCTCATTTCACGCCGAGCCCTCGCTTCTTCTTGTCGCTGCAATATTCGATCCAGTGTGGACGAATCAGCTGTGGCACACCTTGTACGTGAACTGCGTAATCCAGGCATTCGGTTTTCCACATACTTTGTTCGCTGGAGCTCAGATTTAATCAGGGCTTTTGAACGAGATACCTAAAGTTTTAGATTTCAAACGAAACGTAACCGTAAATGAAGGGGGGAAATTTGGTATTCGCTACGTTTCTAGGTATTCAGAAAAAACTCATCACTTGATATTTTTACAAGAGAAAGATTTAAAACTATCAGACATTTGGTGAATGATGATTCCTAGACTTCTGTTTGGGTACATTCTTGTAGATGATTTATGGTCGTCGATGTTGTGAAAGAAAAAATAAAACGTTTACTTAAGAGGTTTTATCATCAGGTACGGTACAGTTCCAGAATTTCTGTTTAGTATAAAATCTATTTAACTATCAGGCCGTTCAGATCGAGAAAAAATTCCGTGTGAAGAAACAAAAGATTTCACTAGCTTTACTGACTGAGGAACAAAATCGGGGAAACCTTTATGGCAGCCTTCCACAGCTGTTTCATACATACATACCAATTGTTCAACTATTTTTTGTTTGTGCAGCTTGGGTGTTTGTATTACAGTTTGTCACCATAAAGACTGAGGTAAACTACTGGGTTACAGATAATTTATTCTGTGAATAAAAATCTCCTGTAATAGAAATACCTTTCTTTCTCTGACTATGACGTTATTGTTCTCGGTGTCAAAAAGCAATGTGGTAGGCACCCTCTGCTTTTGTTATTCATCCAACTACTAATTCATCGCAATATTCTGTGAGATGACAATTAATTACGGTAAAATGTTAGTTTTAAAACCCACGATCGTATGTTTTCAAACGTTGATCCTCACATAAATGTATCGCTATCGTCTACGCGATGAGATAGAGGTATCACCAGGTACTATGATAGTCAGAGGAAATCGTATGTTTCGGGCAGGGGATTTTCCAGGTGGGTTCCGGTCGCTTACTCTGTAACCGAAATTCGACTTTTAGTTCTCTTTTACTGAAATCTAAGAATCAAGGATATCGGTCATATTGGCCGCGTGATACGACTTCGCAGGGCCGGTAACAATCAAACAATCGGCGAATGTGGTTACATCATCAATCAAACAAACAAACCCGTTGGTTCCTGTGAATATTTTAGAAAAAACATCCACCCCTGCAGCCGGTTTCGATCAGCTCACAAGAAAAATTATTGGGTAAATACAGAACTACACTAGACGAAACAGACAATCTATCTGAGAGTTGGAAACAAAGGATTAGTCTTTTAGTAAAAGCAGTGTTTAGCTTTAATGCCCAAACTTTTTCTTTTTGCATCAGTAATCGATTGCAGCATGCGATAGCATCACACCACTAACCCATAACAAGTCATCGGTTTAATGATCAAATTTTTGAAAACGTCCGAACTTGTGACTAAAACCTCTTATAACGATACCATGAATTTATCTACAGAACTCTGTGAGGTATTAGCCAGTGTATGAATCCCCGCAAATGAGGTTGTTTGGGTTTTGTCGTAGTTCACTATTCTCTGCAAGTAATAGATCTAGATAGATGAAATATTTCCATTGGAATTTTTTGATAATTTTACACACTAATTGGAAAAGAAGAGCAACAAAAAATATATGAAGCGAACAACAATAAGTACCAACCTGCTTCAACGAACTGTTTGTAAATCTCAATTTGGAGTTCTTCTCTGGGGATTCTAACAGATGATCCCACTCTTTTTTCACTTCCAAACGGCTGGGTACGTTTAGATTCAACTCGGATGTAGAAACATCCGATTCAGATAGTTCGTCCCCGATGAGGCTTTTGACAACCCATTGATTCAGTAGGTCCCGTGCTTCTGAATAAATACCTAATTTCACTTTCCATTTGGATGTGATTAATTAACTTTGATTTACTCGCGTCTTGTGTTGTGTTTCTCTCCGCCTGATATGGCTGATATATGTGGGTCGGATAGCTCATCTAGTCATTTACGCATGATTCATAAGTGATACGAACTTACCACTCGAGATGAATTAACAGGTCGTCTGGATGAACTGAATCCACCATTCGACAAGTACAATTCGCTCATAATATTAAACCTTTGGTAAGAATGCAACGTTTGATACAATGTAAATAAATGCAGATTAGTGAACAAGCTTATTATTTTAAGCAACTTGTAATCAAGCCAGAATCACTAAATTACATGATATCAGGCAAACAGAGGAAAGTTTTAGGTAGAGAGAGGTTTGATGGTCTGCTAGCCATTCGAATAACAAGATGTGGAGTCATTGGATTCCTTTTTCTCGTGTAATCATTTGAACACTGGATAACTAAATTTGGAAATTGAAGGTTGTCGTTTTTGATAAAGTGAAATAACTTTTTATTGTAATAAACTTGAAGAGACAGTAGATTTACTTTCCACAATTCGTATCCGGATAAATTTTGCTGTATCCCACCAGGTGGATTCTACAGGTTATATAATATAAGTCTTCACGCTGATTCGATAAAAGTACCAGTGATGATTTCAAAGTTGCCGTGGTGTAACCAGTGCAAGTGCAACGAATATCTCGTTCCTCTTGCCTAAACTAAGCTACTATCTCTGAACAGCTTAAGCAAACTTCAGCGAAAGTAAATTATTGTATAGATTAAGAAGTATGAAGGATGGCCCGTTCCAATCAAATAAAGAAAAGGTAAATTGGCTTGCATGAAACAAGCAAAAAGGTTATTATCCCCAAAGTTAACTGTTTTCGTTTTCACCCTTTTCTGTTTCCATATTTTGCCTTCAACCCACGATTATATGGCGCTGTATCCGTAAAGATCGGAGTTTATTGTACATACATATAAGTCTCTTCGCCATAAAGCAGCACCGACTGAACTGCTGCAGCATACACTTGACACTTCATGGAGAACCAAATGTTGTGGCTGCGTCACAGATATCTTAAGTAGAGCAATGGCAACCAAGTCTTCTGTATGCGAGGAGATAACTTTTCCTCCAGGTTAGATATATCTGGCTAGTTAACAAAATTTGTTTAATTCATTGAATAGTCTCACACAGAGCATATTCCACACAAAACAACCGAGTGGTGAATAAGCTCAATTTTGGTGATTCGCATTCATACCCATAAATCACTATATATATATATATATATATATATATATATATA